GGGGAAGCCATGTTGAAACAATTAGATTCTACAGCGAGAGGTCTTGGAGTACTGACATTCTCCCACTTCCTCACATCTCCCCCACCCCAAGAGAGCAGCTAGGGCAGAGGCAACCCAAGCCCGGCTCCAGAAACAGCCTCCGGCTGCAACTGTCCACTCTCCTCCCATCCTTCTTTTACCCTTAACTGAATTCCAATAAAGCAGTCTTTTTTTTTCTAAACCCCTTTTTGATTATGCGGGGGGGGAGGGGGGAGGGAGACATTTCTGAAATGGTTTATCTTTCCTTGAAAGGAAATTCTCCCAGAAAGAAGCTGAGAAGTTTAAGAAATTATAACCCCCGCAACCTGTTGTTGACCTTGTCTGCACAATGTCTGCCGAGTGGGGGCTTTGCTTCCACCACATGCTGGGACTTGCTGGACCCTCTGGTTCTTCAGGTGGTCAAGACTGAGTATTCTTTTTATAAACTGTACTGGAAGCTGAGAGAACAGTGTCAGGTCTTATGCTCATCAGCAGAATCCCTTTTCCTTTGAAATTCTCAGTCAATTCACCTTCTAGGTAATTGAACCATAAGACACCAGCAAAAAAAAAAAACATTTTCTCCGTAAGAATTACACTGAAAAGTCCCATCCAGGAATACTGTATGAATGCTGCTTTGGATGTATTCAGAATAACGGGAGAAACTGACTCAACACAGAAATCCAAGAACCTTGTCTATAAGGACCAGTGGGTGATAGGCTCCTTACAGACAAGGTTCTCACGTAACAGAAGGGTCCTTACAAGTCTTTGGGCAAACAAAGATTTGACTTAGATGGGCACATTTCTGCGTTGGTTCCTGTTCTTTCAATACAACATGCTCTAAATCAACATTCCAATAGGAGAAAGAGAAGGAAAGTCCAGAAAGGACCACACAAACCCCGGAGGAAAGGATGACTGGGACAGCCTGTGGGCAGACAAGCCAGGTCTTCCCTGAGGGCAGGAACAGGCAGCCCCACTCCCAGAAGAGGACACTCAACAAAGAACATCTAGGGAAGGGCAGGCCCCAAGAGGGATGTTGAGAGCTCAAATAAGGCCTCTAGACCCCAACAGGGAATTACAGATTTCCACAGTTTTACATGGATTGTCTTAAAAGTTCTTTAGAAGACAGGCCTCTGGTCCAATTCTGATAAGGACCTTAGAAACCAAAGGGTAAATCTAAATAAACAGGTACAGAATGAGGCCAAGTATTCTCAAGGGCTTCATTTTCAAGACTGCCATCTGGCCTTAGCACTGAGAGGGGGACACAAAACCTGTGGGACATGAACAGGCCAGCCTCACAAGTCCCGTGGCATGCATCAGTCAAGAGCTCTTGTAAGGGAACGCCCATCTCAGCCCCCATCAGTGACACATGCAGAGCTGCACTTCAGAAGGTCTTTAGTTCACTTGCCAGCAGACCCTGCACACATAGCAGGGCCAGCAACAAACAGTTTGCACTGTTTCTAAAGAACTCCTGGGGTGTAAGGTAGACAGGTAAACACACTGGCCAAAACGCACAAATTAGACCAAGCCACAATGCAGAAGGACAGATTTGTACAGATGGCGAGGCTGCAGCCAAAGCAGGGACACTGCCTGGTCCTCACCCTGCAGCCGAGTCGTTGATCTCAGCACTGAGACATGAGACTAACTAGATGAGAAAGACCTTGTGCAAGCCCACAGCCCCACCTCAGCTTGACTGCTCACATCATTAGAATGAAAACATGAAGCCAAATAAGCCGTAATTCCCTGTTACCTTTGAAAATTAAATTTTTACCATTCTCAGTTAATAATCTGTTCACAGGTGGTGATTTACATAAAATCCTTCACTGGGAAATGACTACCTTCTCTTCATTTCTCATTGCTTTTTCTAATTTTCATTCTGACTCCTTCAAAAAAATTCTTCTAGAAATGAATTAAAGATAACAGGTATTTTCCATAAACTTCTTCAGATTTTCCTTTATTTGAGAGGGAGAGAAATAAAGAAGGAAGGTTGACAAAGAAAAGGAATCCTCCAGTGCATCAGTTCACTCCCCAAATGTCCACAGCAGCTGAGTCCAAAGTCAGGAGCTAGAAACTGAATCCAAGTTTTCCATGTGGGTGGCGGGAACTCAACGACCTGAGTCATTCTTGCTGCCTCCCAGGGCCTGTGCTAGCCTGAAGCTGGTCGGGGGCTGCATCTGGAAATCCCACTCGGGTTTTCTTGTGTGGAATATGATGGTCCCAAATCAGTGTTTTAACCATGAGGGCAAACACTCATCCCTCCCTCATGAACCTTCTGTACAAGTCATCTTTGGATGATGCATGTATTAGTCAGCTTTCTGTTGCTATAACAAAATGCCTGAGGCTTAACTTTACAAAGAGAAAAATAAAGGCCTATTTCTCCCACCATATCAGAGGCTGAAAGTTCACATAACATAGTACAAGCTCTTGCAAAACCCCCATGGGAGATGGCATCAGCTCTGTGTGGGAGGAAGCCATTATAGGCGGATACTGGAAGCTCAACAGAGCCTGTATTGGGTCAGAGGAGAAAATTATGCAAAGATTCTATAAGTTTTTGCAGTGGGCAAAATTTAGTCTTTTGAAGCCATTTTCCATGAACTTCTTCATGTGCCCTTGGATCCTTGTAGGTGTAGTGGTAGAGATGCTAAAACTATTTCTAGAGTTAATTCGGGGAAAGCTGAATTATGACAGTCTTAGTTTCATGATCTCCACGTTTGCAGTGGTGATCTCTCTCTAACTAGTTAAGGCATTTCCACCATTCAAAGAACAGAGTGAGGTACAGATAAATGCTACATCATGGATGGACCTTACAAACATTATGGTCAGTGGAAGCAGCTAGAGACAAAAAGCCACATATTACTCAGTTTATATGAACTATCCAGAATAGACAAACCCACAAAGGTGCTAAGCTGAGTGGTTGCCTGGGGAAGGAGCTGGGAAGTTGAGAAGTTGCTGCAGAATGGGCACAAAGTTCCCTGTTGGGATAAGTGAAGTTCTTGACTTCCACAGTGACAACATTCGTAATTCTGTGAATGTACTGGATGCCAACGAACTGTCTTCTTTAATGTGGAGAAAATGGTAAATCTGACATGCTATTAGTTTTACTAAAATAAAAAGAGAATAGAAAACAGACTATGGCCATCTCTTTCTACATGTAAAAAAACACCTTATGAATAAAAGGCACATACTTTGTTATGTTGATCACAACTGTGACTGTTTTGTTGACTTACACTGTCTTTTTAGTGAGCACTACCTAGGATGAAACTATCTGAAACACATATTTCCGCTTTCTCTGGATGACTGTAAAGTCTCACCTTGTATGGGCTCCTGCTAAGCTGGGTTGTGGGGAGGATATCAAGAAGCTGGAGGGTGATACCAAAAGTACTTCACAAACCACCACCAACAAAAACCTCATGATAAAACATTCCTGTGCCCTCCACAGAGGGAGTGACTCAGAAGTTCTGAGGTAGCTGTACCGTCAACAGTTTTTAAAACCAGCACTAATGAGAAGGAAAGGCAACTGGATTGAGCAGGTTCCTACTGTGGACTGGAAACTGGGCTAGCTCTTTCCAAACACTACCTATGGCTGCACTTGCTCATCCCACCTCCTCGGGAACCTGTGTTAGCACAAGCATTAGGAGCAGCAGTCAACCTCAGAGACAGGAGCTCAAGGGTGCACACCTCAGTTTTCTGATCCCTTGGGATAATCCTGGGCCACACTGTACAACCTTCTCACAGAACCAGGGAGTAAACAGTTGGGCTTTGTGAGCAATAGGGTCCTTGTTATAACTATCCAATCCTGCCCCCATAGTGCAGGGGCAGCCATGAAAACTATTCAAGGTGAACGATGTATCCAACACACATATATACAAAAACAGAAGAGGAGACATTACGGTACAGTGGCTAAAATGCCTCTTGGGACATCCGATACTGGACTGCTTAGGTTGAATTTCTGCTCTGCTTCTGATACAGCTTCCTGCTAATGCATACTCTGGGAGACAGCAATGATGACGCGAGTCCTTGGGCCCCCCAATCTTTGTGAGATACTCAGCCTAGTTTTTCAGCTTTTTTTAGCTAGGTATCATTGCAGGCATTTGGGAAGTGAGCCACCACATACAAGTGCTCCTTTTTTCTTTCCCCACTTTTGCCCTCTCCCCCACCTCAGTTGTGCATATTACAGGAATGCCCAATCTTCATCCTTCCCAAGATCTCTGGATTCAGAAGCTACTTGCATGGAAATTCTCATCTCAGAGCCTCCCTAAGGATACTCAACCAACGCTGGTATCTCCTTTTACACTCATAACTCCTCCAGGGGTACAAATATCATCTTCAACTTTATAGTGAAGAAACCGAGTTTCAAGGACTGTACGACTCACATGGGAGTAAATTCCTAGAAGTCCATCTGGCTTTAAAGTCAATGGTCTCTCTATAACATTAGCAGGTACTGTAAAGCTTGGTAAGGTGGATAGTGGATATAAATAAACACATGATGGCACAAACACTTGATGAAATACACAGTACTGATTAAAGTCAACAGGAGTACCAAGCATGTATGGCAAATCTTAAAGCAATATATATATATTCTAGACACATAATTAGTGATCCATGTAAAGGAAACAGATATAAAAATCAAAAATAATATAAGCAGTAAGTTTGAGGGTGATGGGACCAATTTTTCCCCAATTTTTATTCTGTCACTTATCTAGGATAGAATTAATTTCCCGCCTCCCAATCAGTTGCAACCTTGGCTGTCTGGTGAAATCTTCAGTTATATGTGAAATCAAATACAGCTGTGCAAAGTACACATAAATACGTAACACAGAACCTGAAGAGAAAGGAACTAGATGGAAATCTCCAGGGTGGAAAAGCAACACTGATTTCACAAAGTCCCCTGAAAGCACTTGTGAGAATTCCCTTTGAAAGACAGAATCCAGACAATCCTGAACACCAACAGCAAGCACCGGCAGGAACCAGCATTGCCCACTTACGCGGTCTTGCCCTCACTGTCGTGCTTGGTGGCACTGGCTCCCTTCTTGCCCAGCAGCGAGGCCACCTTCTCGACATCTCCATGCTCCACGGCCTGCAGCAAGCGTTCATCATTCTTGTTCCACTCGTTGGTCTGTGAAGCGAAGGGGAGAGGCAGAGCTGAATCCCACAGGTCAATGCCATGTCAACCAGTGCAGCTTCCCAGGTCGAATCCAAACGTGCCCCCAGACAAGCAACTGTAGAAAATACCTTCCCCTTTACCACAGGGACGCCCAAGAAGGCTGGTTTCCCAAAAGAAAACATTAACAGTTCAATAAAATAGAGTCTCGCTACCAAACTCTGAACTAAAGATGTGTCTACTAACAAACTTTGGGAAGATGAAGCAACTTAAAAACATCTCAAGGCCGGTTTATACATTAGCTAATTTCCAACTAAACTTGACAGCTGGCGCCTCGGAAGGCTGGCCTCTGACCTGGCCTGCAGCTCACTCAGTCCACTGAGTTCAGAAACACACTGGCCAGCAGCTCAAGGTCACCCAAGGGTTTATACACACACAAACCCTCATCTGCTTCCACAGCCACTCTTTCTGGCTTGTTTACCAGGCCCTAATTTCGACCTGTATCCTCATTTTAAAGAGTTACCCCAGCTATCAATTCAATGACAACATATCAACAGAAATAAAACTTTTCTGAACAAACTACGAAACATCCAACAACAAGCTTAAACTAAAAGCTTCCGTCATGGCCAACCCTCCCAGAGGTCACAGAAACAGTCTGCAAGCCAGGAATTCATGGTAAAGCTTGCATGTGCACAACAGCTAGGCTTTGTTTTGAGAGAGAAAAGAGGTGCTGTGCTCTTTAGATAAAAGCATGTGAGCCTGGAGGACAAGACTGAGAAGCCTGAACGGGCACCACTGAGCCCCTGAAGGTTTTAGAGCAGAGAATGATGGACAGAAAAAGCACTGGGGCCCTGAAAGGCTCTGAGACACTGGCAGGCCAACCTGCTCTCCAGCCTGGCCCTCAGTCTCCCCCTGAGCTAGACCAACCTTCTGGGCACCCCTCCTACCCACCTGATCCTGTCCTAGGGGTAAATACCTTTCCCTGTCTGAACTGGCCACTTTTTCACTTTTTCATCACAAGAGGGACGCACCTGAGGCAGGTTACTTCCGAGAAATCTGGCTTACATTATGGGGGAGGTTCAACCCTGTCAATCATATTATGGTCACAGCCATGATAATGATAGGAGCACACTTCTAGAGCAGGTGACGGCGCCTCCATGCAGACAGCCCTAAAAGGCAGGCAGGGGCCAGACACTGGTTTGGAGAACAGCAACCACCAAGGGGTCCTGTGGGAAGTCCTTTAATCCTTTCCAAGACTTGGCTCCTAATAATCTCTCAGGCACCATCTCAAAGGCCTACGTCATCTCCTCACACAGCCACCTAGGAGCCACACCTCCAAAATAGGAACCTTCAGGAGACCCTGGAACCACAAAATCAGACCTCCAGGGCTCTGAGGCTTAAGAATCCCCAGGCATTTCTTTTTTTTTATTTTTTTTTAAAGATTTATTTTTATTATTTTTTCATTGGAAAGGCAGATATACAGAGAGGAGAGACAGAGGGGAAGATCTTCCGTCCGATGATTCACTCCCCAAGTGAGCGCAACGGGCCGATACTATGCCGATCCGAAGCCAGGAGCCTTTTCTGGGTCTCCCACGCTGGTGCAGGTTCCCAAAGCTTTTGGGCCGTCCTCGACTGCTTTCCCAGGCCACAGGCAGGGAGCTGGAAGGGAAGCGGGGCTGCCGGGATTAGAACCGGTGCCCATATGGGATCCCGGGCGTGCAAGGCGAGGACCTTTAACCACTTGCGCCACCGCGCCGGGCCCCAGGCATTTCATAAAGGAGACTTATAGGGACCACTACAAAGCAGTAAACAGAGGAGATGTTAGATTTAGAAGCTAAAAAGAGGCCATCTTTCAGGGCCCAGGAGTGCATTCTCAATCTTTAGCCTGATAATCTGGGAAACTAAATCAAAGCTTCACCCTCTCACACAGCACAGGTCGGTCCACCAGACAGCCTAGTCACCCATCTGAGTCCAGCCCAGATGACGGGTAGAGAAAGCTCCACGTCAGGGAAGAACAAAGCACATGTGCCCAGAATCTGTATCTGAGAATCTCCGGCCTGGGCCCTTCCTCTTTCTCAACTTCCTTCTCCTCCGTGGCCATCACTTGAATCAGTAAGAATGATTTGAGTTGAGCCAAAACTCAGCTGTCTGTCCCCTGGCTGCATGAATTTGACGTCTAGAACACTGAACTGAAACTTCCATCCTGCGTGATTCTAAGTCAGACACACCCTCCCTGTATCTCAATTTCCCAAGGTTCTGGAACTAGGAGTTCTCCATGACTCCTTTAAAGCCCTCTATACAATGTTTCAAACTTTGGTAAGGATTATTCTAGAAAACTGTTGCCTATGACAGTGTTCCATATCAACACTGTCCAATATTGTACCCACAGGCCACTGGTTTTCAGAGATTTTTGCACCTAGGAAACACAGGGCAATCTCTGAAGACATTGTAGGGAGTACCAACAGCATTGGCTGGGTAGAGGCCATGGATGCTGTTAGGCATCCCACACAATACACAATACAGACCCTTCTACGAACAGACTCCTCTGGCCTGAAGTGGCAATGCTGCACTAGCCTCATGTCACCACTGTGTGCTGGAAGTGTGGACACTGTGATTACAGCTCTGAATTTTAACCTTAAATTGGGACATCAAGGGTCAGTAACTATCATACAGAACAATGCCGATCTCCATGACACTTCACTTCCCATTTCAATTTTTTGCTTTAAAAAAAAAACCAAGAGAGAACAGAAACATAGGCAGAGATCTTCCATGCTGGTTCAATCCCCAAACGCCTGCAATAGCTAAGGTTGGGTCAGGTGGCAGCCAGGAGTTTCTCTCAGGGCTGGTAGGAACCTAGACACTTGGCTTCACGTGCTCCCAGGGAGCACAGCATTCAGAAGTTAGACTGGCAACGCAGCAGCAACTCAAGCCCAACCAAGCACTTCAACGTGGGATACGGATGTCCCAAACTGAGCCGTAACCACTGCGCCCAAGGCCTACCTCACTTCTTAAAAAAGTAACGGGTTGGGGTTTATGTTCTCTGCACCCCTACTATAGCCACTAGTTTACATCAGGAAAACCTTAGGAGCTGCCCCCAGTGAAAGATTACAAGAAATCTATTGCCTTAACACAAACATTTGGTTAGTAGAATAGGACAGACCAATTTTACTTAACAACCTTACAACCAACGAGGTAGCAAATGCCAAGAAACAGATCCCAGCTTATTTTCATCCCCACCAAATGCATCAAGAGGAAAAATATGACTGAAGTTCATTTAGACTCAATGCTTCCTACCTACATTGCTTTAAGCGGGAAAAATATTGGCTGTTAAAGCCCTTCCTAACTAAAACTGACCAATTAAAACTGGATTTGGAAGATCAAAAGGATATGAAATCTCAGAGGACAGGGCTGAAAGTACTTAAGCAACGGAAGACCACATAAAAGCATGTTTCTTTTCAGTGCTGCTAAGGCACTCCTTGCAGAAGCAGAGAAAAATCAGACTGCAGGGCTTCCCTGAAATTAGTTCCACATGGATCTTTATTCAGGGTGTACCACTGCCATGGGACACGGCAAAGAAAGATTCCCGCTCCTCACTCGTTGGAGGACAAGCTCAGTGTCACATTCCTTGAGGTCTAAATCGTCTCTCAGGTAGTTTCTCTTGGGTGCAGGCCAGGAGTTAACTTTTTTCTTGTATCAGGTGAGGTCAAGAGAACATAGATGCCCACAGACATTTAATGCATAGCCCTCAACGCCATTCAGCCTGTACAACTGGGATTTGGGAAAGCAACAAAAGGGAGAAGAACGGATGCTCGCACAAATACGAGGCCTTGGTGTTCGAGGCAAGGGAAAGGGCAAACCCAAAAAGGAAACAGGGTGTGGCTGCCTAGGCTGTGATTGCCTGAGAAAGGAGGAGAGAAGGTAGGAGTCCCGTTGTCTCAATTCTCACGAGGCTGTGACAGGCAGAGGCCGAGAAGCTTCCCTTACTCCTCCCCTAGTCCTGGGCCTGGCCCTGGTTATACTGGCAACTGACTCTGGGATGCACAAAGGGCCCTACCACACTTTTTCCATAAGCCTGGATTTGAGGACACCATCATTTTTCTTCTGCGAACTTGCCCACAGAGATAGTCCCTAGATATTCTGCTACACAGCTCTTCCATTCAGTCTTTTCTATACTAAAAACCCATGATCACTCACAACCTGAGACCATATTCAAGTTTGAATGTCACTGCTGTGGGGAATCCAGAAGCAGATATTTTCTCTCTCTCTCTCTCTCTCTCTCTCTCTCTCTCTCTCTTTCTCTCATTTTCTCTCAAAGCCCTCACCCTTCTCCATCCTCATCCGCATCCCACACTAAGAGGTATTAAATCGAAACCAAATGTCAAAAATATCCTCAAAAACACTCTTGGTCAACCTGAAACGGGGTGCGAGCGAGATCACACCAGACATGTCTAAGGTTTTATTAAGGAGTCTTTATTAACCAAGCTTGGTGATAACAGAGCATATTAGAAATAACAGCTCACAGGTCCATACAGCAATGCAACCAATCATAATCCAACCAAACATAATCCAAAGGGGAACAAATGGTCATTATCCTGAAGTCCATCCGTTAAGCTAAAGACCTATGTCCCTGCTTCCCCAACAATATAAGTTAGACCCAGAGACATGCAACCTGGACACACTTACAAAGCTGCAGATGTTCACGTTTCCTTGGCTTCTCTGCCCACATCCCACTACTGCTAGGCCCCACCCCTCCTGGAACTCCTGACAGCACACAAACCAGAAGCAATGTTAACATATCCATTGTCCCACCTAAGCAGTACACAGGGACCATGCTCAGGGGATTACCTGTCCTGAATCAGCCAAGAGCCGAGGTGTCAGAGTAACGGAAACACCTGACCAGAAAGAGAGAGAGAGCCCCGCTTCACAGGCCTTTTAAAGCGGCTTGTAAGGGGAGTGGTTACACAACAATGCAATACCATCCCCTCTCAATAGATAGATGAGTCACAGGTGGGCAG